GCAGCGTTTATTTATTTTTGAGTCACTTAGTAGCTGTATATATTTCCTTCGCCTTAATCATGCATCCACTCTTCGCTTCTTCTTTCTTCAACGGAGTAAGAAAAGGATTGTATCTTAAATTTCCACTATAAGTTGGAATAAATGTGACTTTGATTTTAATCGAGAACAATTATCCATGCAGCAGTAAAAAAAAGTAAACCATAGAGAACAGAAACAGGAATACAGAGCAGAAGAACAGACCGAATATATTAGTAAATCTACATATACATTGGTAGAGAGAGAATGATGAATACAAGAGAAAAGAGAAATTCTATGATGCCTATGTGCAAAAATAGAAACTCGAGATGTAAAATGATATAATCAGTAGGGAAAATATGCATGAGATATCAAAAACACACTTAAATACACCCGATTCAGGTTTATCATCTGAGTTCGTTGTACCTTATATGAATGGAATCCCGTGTCATCTTTTTCTACACGTTATCACTGTTATGTTGGGTCAAATTTTTTTTGCTCAATCAATAAAAATCTTGCCCATTTTGCCTCTTCCATTTTTCTAACGTAAACGAAGTTTGTCCATTATTCTAAAAATCCTGGCTACTCTGTTGCAATAGAATACTATGAAAATCTACATTCATTGAATATTCAAAGAAATTGCATTGACGATTCTCAAATAAGTTAAAAAGAATGGATTTTCATAAAAAATAGGATCAGAATAAAGATGTGCTGCAGTCAATATTTTGTTTCTTTTTTCTTATGAGTCTTATTTGACTCGATAAAATGTGACCAGAGTCTATTTAGTCTGTATTTATCAACTTATTAGTTTTGCAGTCTCAGAAAATGGCTCATGATTTCTTTCATTCAGAATTTTATACGATCTTCAATATAACAAGTCTGCAAAATACTATCAGATTTTATTATAAGATCATGTAAACGATTCTAAATGTGTACTATCTTGTAATAATTTTTGGTCTTTTGTTTTTTTCTAAATAGTTATCCTTCAATATGTGTCTCAAAAANATTATAAGCTACAGATCAATATGACTACTCTTATTTCACTTGTGATATAGAGTAAGACTATCATCGAGTCATTTCTATATGCGACACTAAAAAACAAATAGCGAAAATCTAATGATAGAAGGAAAGAGTATATTATATAACGATGTGCTTCACTATAAGTCTATTTCGAAGAAATAACTAATGATTTATACCGAAGATACAAAAACAATTGTCTTAGAATTCATCCTTTCCCATATAAGTAATTTAACGATACAAAATATTATTCTGAACAATAGAAAAATAGCGTAGCCAAGGAGAGAGGGAGCAAATGTACAATGTTCCATATCATTTCGAAATTTGTTCATTCTCATTTTTGAAAATAAGTTTTAGCCCATTGAAGTCTTACTTTTTCCACAGCGATTATTTATTTTTGAATCACTTAGTAGCTGTATATATATATATATATTTCCTTCGCCTTAAGAATGCATCCACTCTTCGCTTCTTCTTTGTTTAGAGGAGTAAGAAAAGGATTGTATTTTGAATTTCCACTATAAGTTAGCATAAATGCAATTTTGATTTTAATCGAGAACAGAAGCAGAAATAAAGAGCAGAAGAACAGACCGAATTTATTAGTGAATCTACATATATATTGGTAGAGAAAGAATGATGGATATAAGAAAAAAGAGAAATTCCATGATGCCTATGTGCAAAAATAGAAACTGGAAGTGTAAAGTGGTATAATCAATAGGGAGAATGTGCATGAGTGATTTACAGACACATTGAAATGCTAAATTAATATACGTATATAAATATGTGTTACCTGTCATGTTGATTTTGAAGTTGGACTTTGACAAATTTTATCCACAGAAATATCAAAAACATACTAAAATACATCCGATTCAGGTTTATGATCTGAGTTTGTTATACGTTATATGAATGAAATTCCGTGTTATTTTGTTCTATACGTTATCACTGTTGTGTTAGGTCAAATTTTTTTTTTCCTCAATCAATAAAAATCTTACCCATTTTGCTTCTCACTTTTTTCTGATGTAAGTAAAGTTGGCGCATTATTCTAAAAAGTCTGGCTACGCCATTGCAATAGAATACTATGAGAATCTACATTCATTGAATATTCAAAGAAATTGCATTAACGATTCTCAAAAGAGTCGAAAAGAATAGAATTTCATAAAAAATAGGATAAGAATAAAGATGTGCTGCAGTCAATATTTTGTTTCTTTTTTCTTTTGAGTCTTATTTGACTCGATAAAATGTGAGCAGAGTCTATTTAGTCTGTGTTTATCAACTTATTTGTATTGCAGTCTCAGAAAATGGATCATGATTTCTTTCATTCAGAATTCTATATGATCTTTAATATAACAAGTCTGCAAACTACTATCAGATCTTATTATAAGATCATGTAAATGATTCTAAATGTATAGTATCTTGTGAGAATTTTTGATCTTTTATTTTTTCTAAATGGTTATCCTTCAATATGCATCTCATAAAAAGGTATTTACAGTATTTAATGACTAATTAGTAACATCATGTTTCACATTTGTGTCATATACAAAAGTATTAAAACTTTTCTCAAGTATAAAACTAACTAGTGTTTCTAATTAAGTTGAGTGTCATTGTTCTGCTAAAAATTAGCATAAATAGTATTTTATGTTTGATTTTTCTAAAACTTTTATTTCTCAATCCGAACTATTTATAAATTTCTAACAGAATCAAATTGTTCTCTTTAATTAAAATACAAAAAATATTCATTCCAATTATCACCATAGCCTACTATTATTAAAATAATTATAAATTATGTATATCACCTCTCAATTTCACTGATACTTTGTTGTGACTTCTGTGGATCCTTATGCTTTTTATGATTCTAGAAATAATGAGTTTCTCCGAAAACTTTTTTATTCAATATCATGCACTTTTTCTGAAGCATATCATACATCAAAACATTCAATGTTCACATGTTATTGTTCAATATTTCTACTCTAAACTATATGAATTATAATTGATCTCATTTCTAAAACATTTTGATTCAATATGACAGCTCAGGAACAATCGATACTTGATTATCTTTCATAATTCATTACCTAGCAAATCGTAACGCGAAATTTTGTATCTCAGGAATATTTTTACTGTCAAAGTTGAAAATCTAGAAGTCAACAGAGTTTAGTTGTTTTATACATTATAAATATTTTACCATTAAAAGTAAACAAAAAATAAGAAGAATCTTATAATCTTGTTACAATTATTCTCTTACACAATAATTTCTGTCCAAAAATTTTATATTTACAATTACCTTATTATAATATGAAATGGCGAACAAAATCGAAAATCAGTAATCAAATAAAGTAGACTTGAGTCCGAAAGAAAACTGAAATAGAAGTACGATATGATACGAGTTTTATTTTCATGTATTTGAATAGGGATTGCTGCTGCATAAATTATTGTTTGTTTTAGTTGATAGAAGACAAGAAACAAACGAATACGAATGTCAATAAAGTATGTTTTTTTTTCTTTGCAATGCACAAAATTGTATGATACGACTACATACGAAGAGAGGATCAAGAAAAAAGCCCATTCATAAGGTTATTTCCACATTAAAGAAAAGAAAATAGGTGAAAAATAAATAAAACATGATTATTCAAGCGTTTCATTCTTCGTTGAGAAGGTATAATCATCATATAACATTATTTTTGAATGTATCAAACAAAAAGTAAACAGCGCACATGGACATATTCAATACATAGTGATTGAATCTTGAAAGTTAGTCGAATTCAATACTTGAAAACTTCTCGCTATTGTTCAAAGTACTAGCTGTGATTTCTATTCTTTTCGTCTGTTAAATTTTAAGAATATTGAAAATGTTACTTTGAATCAAAAATAATAAGAAAAGATAAATAAATAAAGTATAATTAGTGTCTAAATGTTATACAAAAAAGAAATTTTCACATTCTATCGAAACACATAGTTTTCTTGTCGTCGATTGAATCTCAATCATATACAAGAGTAGAGTAATTTCCACACTAACATTAGTGATTTCATCAGAACTCAAAGGCTAGTACTTGTTTGTTATAAATTTTAATGTTGATGCAACTATTTATTCTTTTTTAATCATTTTATTTATAAATAGTAAATCAGTGCTTAATTTACGTTTTAACATAACTTTTTTTTTTTTCTATATTTTATATTTTTATCAATTTTCTTTTTTCCTTTTTAACTATTGAATTTTCGGTCATAACTAGACTATGTCTTTCACAATAACAATTTATGTATGTAACAGGTAAAGCAACTTATAACATGGTAGTCTCATTTCTCTATGCAGAGAAAAAACGAAGTTATAACGCTATACAACAATATCAATAGAATAATAACATTAAAACAACTATCAACAAATTCAGCAACACTAGTAATAATAACAACATCAACATATTCAACAACAACATCAATATCATCAACATCAACAATATCTTTAGCTTCAACTTCTGTATTCAATCGTTCTGATGATGGTCTAGTTATGACCGAAAATTCAATAATTAAAAAGGAAAAAAAGAAAAGGGTGTGGGTGTGGGTCTGAGTGGGTATGGGTGTCAAATATTACTACAGAAACACATCCGGACCTAGATCCACACACTCATTCTAAACCTCAGACCCAGAAATACAAGAGAAACGAGAGTGTAAAGTAATTGAATCACATTTATTGAGAAGCAAAGAAAAAATAGTATTTGCATAGTATTTTAAGCATTTGTGGCAATATTAAATTTTTGTACTCGATAATTGAAACTATCGACGACATAGCGATTGCCACGTCGATCGAATGACAAACCGACGGGGAAATGAAGTTGATTCGATTGTCCTCCTCTTCGATTTTCACCAACAATGACATTTCCTTGTGTAGATCCTTTGGACCAACGCATGATTCGATCATTTCCTATATCAGCTACATAGACAGTACCTAACTGATCGACAATGTCTCCTGCAGGACTTGATAATTATGTAGGACCATTTTCTCGTCCTTGACCACCAGCCACCACAATACCTTGTGTTGCACCTTCCATCCATTTCAACACACGATCATTTCTCGATTCCGATATATAGACTGATTGATCTCGATCGACGAATACGTATTGTGGCCAATGAAGTTGATCGAGACGGTTTCCATGTACATTTCCACCTGCAACTACTGCTCCTTGAGATTCTCCTCTTCGATACCGTCTCACTTCATTTTTTGCATAGTCAACGACATAGAGAGATCCATTTTCGTCCATTGTCAAACCCCCACAATCGATGTTGAAGATAATTGTTTCTCCACTTGTCCCATTTCGACGAGGCCATCGAACTACTCTTCTATTCTTACGATCGCATATGATAAGACTCTCTGTCTTTTCATCGACAATCACATCATATGGGTAAGACAATTGATGATCTTCGATTCCTTCTCCATTTTCACCGGCAATCACTTGACCACTCATCGTACCGCTTTTCCATTTCACAATACGATCATATCCCCAATCAGCGACATAAATTGTTTGTTCATCATCTACATACAAATCGAATGGGTAATAGTGTTGATTGATTCCATCGCCTTCTTCATTTCCTCCAGCTACTGTAATACTATTGTGTTGCCATCGAGCATTGGGATGAATATCAATGGGACAAAGGCTGGAGAAAAAAAATATTCTTAGTTATATTTTATTTTCATAATGCTTAAGGTATTGACTGAGATTTCTACTTGGAGATAAGGATGCACGAAATCCAAATCCAATGAAACTCAAATCAAAATCTTTGTGTGGTTTTGACTTGGATTTCGATTTAGGTTTGATTGAGTTTGACTTAGATTTGACTGGGTCTAGCAGGCCATAGACAGGTTTTATCTGGATTCGAATATATAGTGTCCTGGGTCCTCAAGTCCTACTATAGGGACTGTGTGGGTGTGGGTGCAGATCTGAATATTTTATTTTTATAAATTCAATGAAATGAAATTTTTTATAAAAATGGAAAAAATTTAAAAAAGCTATCGGTATGTTGGTCGTTTTTGGAAAAATGGACCATTGATGGTTATCGAAAAAACTTGCATTTTCGTAACCAAAATCATTATGAAAGACTATTGAAACGTATGCATTCTTACTCACCTCAACGAGTTCTATCCAACCATGTAAAACAACGAAAAAAAATTTGCTTTAACATTGCATTATCTGCACCTTACCAGCTCTAAATTACAGTAGTTCGCTATAAAACAAAATCTAGTTTATATCATTCTGAATTCTATGTGTAATATATATGTATAAGACCCAACTGAGAATATTGCTTCAATGAAATTGAAAAGATTGATCATCATTTATTTAAATCAGAATATGTTATTCATTGTGATGTAAAGTAATTTCTTAGAATTGTTATCGTACCTGTGTAATATTATCACGTAACCATTTCCATCCTACTTTGACTTCTTAATTTGTAAATAGGCTTAAGTTAGAAAGTGAATAACTTAACAGATGACATAAAATATATCCATGCCCATATTTCTATCTCCGAACAGACGATGTGACCCTATTTTCATGTTTTCAAGAGAAATTTCTTTAAAATTCTACAAACTTATGTGTTTGATTCTTCAATTAAAATCAATCATGTATGTCTCTCAGTACACATAAAAAATTTGATGAAATCGAGTGTATTCATTGAGAAAGACTTTATATATGAAAAATTGATGCAAGGTATCAGTTAAAACATTTCTGGTTTCATCAAGTGTTTGTAGATATGTCTTCTCTTCGTCCATATCCTTGCCAACCTAAAATCGGAAAATCTAAAAAAAAAATAAATTTTTCATAAAGATCACAGAAGATAGATCAGTCGCTAATTATGAATTGTTTTCAAACTTTACTAGTTGTAATAAAAATTGCATTCTGATTTTAAATAATCTATTATCTAAAAATAGACATGACTATTTGAAAATATTGAAACAAGGGAAAAATGTATCCTATCGTGCGAATGATAGAAAAATATGTTTATTTACCTATACGCTACTAAAATGTGAATCATTTACTTATCTCTATAACCTTGCATTTCAAGTCTTTTTACAGTAGCCGAGAAAGTGTAAATTAGCTTCAAATAGCCTGAACTCTATTTAACATCTCTAACAAATTACTAACTAATCGATATTTCTTCAAAATTTAAACATATCAAAAGCACAATAATTATTAATTGTTACAAAGTGTTCATCTCCTATTCTACTCTGACTACTTGTGACAGTCTACAACTATTTTGTAGTTTATAGATTTCTATAATTTTAAATCAGACTATCAAACTTCAAGATATTCATTTTTACGAAAGGTTTCACAAATGATCAATACTAGGATTTTTCTTTTCAATATTTTTTATTCTATTTTATTCGTAGTATAAAAGAATTTTCTAGAACTTATTTAAACGAATTATATTCATTGTAATTTACAGATTAGATCAGAAATCAGATTTTTCTTTTCTTAATTTTGATGATGTATATGTTTATGTAGAAAAATTCTACAGATAGATTTTCCTTTTCATCTCTATCAAATAAAATTTCTTACTACTTTGTAATTACGGTCGAAAAGGATTTCTTTGTATTATCAATATTTCAAACAGTTACATGAATACAAATTGTTATAATGAAAAAATTATTCAACAAAATTGTCTTCCATATTGATTTTGTAATAAAATGTATATCCAATGCAGTAGATAGAAGTTATTTCTGAGTTATAGATAGCAGTGAAATATTTTTTTTTCTAACTTAATTTTTGTTTCACTGATTTTGAAGTGTTCTAGATGCAGTTTGACACCATCTTAAACACTATCAAATTGAATAATGATCATAAAAAGCCTGTCTTTTTTTATACAATATAAATTATTTCATTTATCAATATTATTATTGGTATGATATTCAACACATTTAAGTGTATAATATAGTCATGGATGTGAGTGTTTTTCTTTTCTTATCACCTACACCCTATATGTTAATAATAGTTTCGTTTTTGATGGATGAAGATAAATTATAAAATGAGAACAAAAGTTTTGAGAAAGTACTTTTCTTGTTAGTATTTTTTTCATATTTAATTGTTTATTTATAGCGTAATTAAATAAGATTGTTTTTGTATTTTGAGTAAACTTTAGTTTTAGTAAAAAAGAATTAGTGATATTTTAGAAATCGACTGATTTCTCAATTTGAAATTTAAATCATGAAAAAAGTCTTCTACATAATATAACATATACTCCTCAGAAGAAGATATCTTTTCCAAATAAGAAGTTCTTCAAATTTTCACATGATATCTTCTTTTCTAAAGTGAATGAGTATGTTGACAGAATTTGCAATGTTTAAAAGCAAAAGTGGACGCATATAGTATTCATGTTGATTAAGAATTACATAAATTCTGCTATAACTGGATTTTAAAATGAAATTTTTATCATGCAGTATTTTAAAGTTCTCATCATTTCAACATAAAAAATTCAACAGAAGGTGAGCCCATAATTCGAGATATTCAAGATATTGTGCAATGAGGAGACTTGAAATATTGAATCCTACTTGACTTCCTTCTATTATCAGTTTCTTAATAGTATATACATATCTTCAAAATAAATATCTTTGGTAAAAGAAGAACGATGAGAAAACAATGAAAAAACAAAGATGAAACAAAATAAATGATAATCACAGTGTTTTCTGACTATTTATGCACGTCTTATTCATTTTGAAACAAAATTTTCTCATAAAAAGATTCATAATTCAACTCTCTAATGACTGGAAAACGTACAATTAGTTTTATGAAAATTTCATGATAAAAATTTTTTAACGATTTTAGTTATATTATTAATTCGCTTCTTTTAATGTTCCTTATTTGAAAATTTTATTTCATATTGAATAATTTAAAGAACTTGTAAACAGATTGTTGGATTATCAACACGAAGTGATAGATCTAACATCCCTAATATGAACTTTAAATATAAGTTCAGTTCTTCAAAATTTTGAGAATTTCTATTGTATATACCAGTCTCTTTTCGATTTGATAAATTTAACATTAAATATGCCTATGACAACCATTCTTTCATTCATATTCTTTAAATACAAATGTCTCATTTGTTAGATCAAGAGAATCTTTTTTATTTTCTCATTCTACCGAAATGCTTTATTTTTCGTCTATATTTGTGGAAAAAAAACAAGAGCTTTATTGATCTAAACTATTGAACATCTTAGTTAGAATTGATATTCGAAAAGTAAATTCAATAGATTAACCCCATCTTAATCTTGTGATATATATTCATACTTTTTCTAACTGATTTACAATGATAGTTAAAATGTAAATTCATCATTTTAATGAATCTATTTTGAGAAAAACAATTTTTCAACGGAAAGTTCTACTTCAACTTTCATTATCATACAAAAAAAAATAATTTCAAGTCTCCTATACCAAACCATGAATCTTTCATCTGATAGTTTTTCACCACATTGCAGAGATATCCTTTCTTTTTTTTTGTTTATAAAGAAGACAAGCGCAAAACAATTCAATAATATTATATTCGAATTCTTTGTCAGTGAGTAGCATTTTTAACAATTACTTTATCTTATTTTATATTTCGTTTGTCGAATATCTAAGAAATACATCTTTGATAAGATGATCTGATAATACATGTCGTTTAGTGATATACTTATTATGAACTGAACATGGAGAGAGAGAGAGAGCTGTTTGTATTGTTGGTTGATATTTTTTGTGATGAATAGACAAATCTCTTCGAAAGTTAAAACGAAATAATTTTATTTATATCTCAGATAAATCATCAATATGTTAAAATTCGAATATCTTAGCCTATGTATATCATCGGAAGTTCATACATTTTGTGATGTTTTTTTTATATGATCGTGACACATTTTATTTTGTCTAATTATTTCAATATTATTAAATAGGCTGCACATAGTTATGTCATTAAGTAAATCGTATTTAGCAACTTGTTCGAATTATCGATATACTAATACTTAACTTCAAGGAGGAAAACGCTGATTCAGAGTCATGCTACTTCATCCAGATGAATCGAAATAGATTTGAATAGATTTTATTAGCTATAAATATGCAAAAACTGATTTCATGCATTAGTAGGATGATTTCATTGATGCATGATACATCACAAACTCATAAAAATTGTTGAACCACTAGATAACAATAAAAGAATCGGTAAAATATATCTATAAATTGAATACCAACAATAACTATTTCAGCAAAAATTAAGTTTGAATTCATTCTTGATTATAGGAAGAGAAAGCGACGAAATAGTTTTGTTTTCATGTGCATCTCACTTTTAAGTAATTTTTCTTTTTTTTCATGTATGTAGAAAAAAGTTAAACATATGTCCTTTCCTGAAGTATATTATAATTAGAAAAAAAATATTTGATTAAAAGTTGACTAGTAGTTAACAGATGAAATATAAGTGTTGACAACATCTGATTACAATAGGTTGATCGAACATTACCAAGAAAACAATCCTTTTATTCATTTAATTAGCTTTATGTGAAGTGTAGATGCCAATGTTGATGTTCTGTTTTGTTACACTGATACCTACATCCTCTCACATTATGTGAGTGTTTCAATATTTATTGTATTTTAATAATGAACCTATTGAATACAACTACACGAGATGACAAGTTGCTTCTTCAAAAACTGACAAATTATCGAAACAAAAACACTTATTTTTCGTTAATTAAATTTATCTACTATGATTCAAGAAAAAGAAAGTAATCAATACATTAGTATTCTCTATTCATTAATGATATCAAACATGAGATTTGAAATCAAATTCCCATCTCTAGAACAAAATCACTCATGAGAGTCTTCGAAACTTTTTTGTGTAAGTAACTTTCTTTACGTGAACTATGAATTGAAGTTATGCTACAAGCTACTATAAAGTATTTCTATGGTTGACTTCATTCACTCATTTTGTCAGTATTATTTGCTATACGATTCTATTATGGTATTTGAACTCAATATTATGAATGATATGTGATTAAAAATCAGAAAAAAACAAGATATTTGAGGCTAATTTCGCATATCAAAGAAGAGTGATAGAAAATTAAAATAATTCTAAAAACAAATCATCTCTGTTTGAAACGAGAGATACATTTTTACTAAAGGAAACAACTTATTATAAAAAGTTACTCTTGTTATTAATAAAGAATTTGACTATATGATTTTAGCGAGAGTAATACATACATCACAGTTCATGTCAAAGTATTGTTGTTAATTGTATTCTCCACTCTTTAATTTAAAACTTGATATCTATAAGATTGCTTGTGAAAATGAATTGTTTGTCAGGATAGTTTCTTTCAATTACACATATTATAGAAGACGACAGAGAGAAAACTATGAATTTATAACTGTCAATGACAACATAAATGATCTAATGAATATCGTATATATACTGTAAAAGAGTGAATATTTTTTACGTAAATACATATAATATTAATTAAAGGATAGTAGAATAAACAAAACATACAGAAATATAAAAAATAAAGAAATCAAAGGAATGTTTTCCACAAAAAATATATCTACAAATACAACATGGGAAAAAGATGAAATTTTGAACATATAGCAAATGATAGTAGGTAGTTGTATTAATTCAAGTCTAGCTATCAACTATTTAAGTCATCTAGAACAGTTATTTTTGACAAACAAAAACCAGTCTGATTCTAAGAAGATTAGATCTTCTACTCTCTTTCTATACTCAACTTAACATGTTTTTCACGATAACTAAATGCATTTTTTAGGAGAAAAGCTTATATGCTATGTGAAGATATAATGATCAAAATAATTCTACTAACTGGATATTTACATGAATTGTAAAATTACATAATGCAGAAGATGTAGAATGTATCGAAAAGAATAAATGAAC